ATTTTTCATGGTCGATAATTCGTCAAAGGGCGATCTCTTTACGCGATGTAAAAACACAGCCAGACGTCTTTAACGATTCGAATTTTCTTTGAAGCAACCGCCATTCTCGGTGCCTGCGTACGACCATCTCGCGTTTACTTTTAGTCGTTCAGGGAAGATCCGTGTCTCTTTCGTTTTCTCTTTCTGGTACACGGCTATGGTTCGTTTTCGTCGCACCCTCACAGTCTGGAGGCAACCTCCGCCCACCAAAACCGCAGCTCCCGCTCGGCCTGTACACCCTCACCCGCCACGTCGCTACTAACCGTTCAGGAAATGTTTATTCTGCCCTTTTACCGGTAGTTCCAAAGGATTTTTGGATTTCGTTGCCAGCCGCAATTTGGAAGTCAACGACCATCCCTTACGCTACCCTCTTTCGAAACTTTCTTCGATGCTGAGGGTTCTGTTGCGCTCCATTCATTTTTGGTCGATTGACTTAGGTAGAGGATTGGGTTAGGGAGGATCAGAGAGAGGAAGAACTGGGGATTTTGGAAATTCATTTTAATTGTCGAATGTTGCTTGGATAAAAAGGCGAAACTAGATCTTAGAATTTTCAGTTATCTAAAATAGGGTTTTAATATTTGGGATCTGAATGATTATTTAGTTAAATATTTAGTTATCCTAGTTTGTTTTTTCTTTTAAACGGGCCGTAGAAAATAGTTGGAAGTTTTGACAATCTTTTTAAAATTATAGAATTGAACCGGTTTTAAAGAAAATTAGATTGCAGATTTTTAATTATTCGGGTTTAACTTTGAAATTTATTCGAGAATTGAAGTTTTCTTTCAAATGAATTGGACGTTTTATAAATTTATTGAAAGATTGAATATTTTATTCGATAATAGAAATAATAGTGGTTGCTGGTTTTTAAGTATATAAACGTAATGTTTTATTTGATTAATTTTCATTAAATGAATCGGAGAAAATAATCAGGTGTGTGGAAAACTCACATAAAAATTAATAATAAGCTGTTTCAAGAAACAAAGAGGACCAAATTATGGACCAAGTATTTGAATTTAATATTTCAACATTTTTTTCCACAAGAAGACTGAATTTAATTTCCGTGGATAGAACATGATTTAATTAATTCCAGAATAGTGGTGGCTATGCCTGTGAAAGTTTGCTTAGCTGGCTGATTCTCGTTCCAAAGGCTTCTTCGTTAATTTATTCATTCCTCTCGGTACGTCGATGTGAATTTTCCATTTCCAGGAATTACGGAGGGAAAAAATTAGTAACGGCGGGAAAAATACGGGTTCATGTTTTCGCAAACGTTGGTTCTTGGTAGATCTTAGGTTGGAATCGGAGTGAGAAGAACGAGGATGCGCCGGTGGGCTGGCCAGGCCACAGCGCCGCCCCTCGACTCTCGACTTACTTTTGCCATCTTGCCTCCGATTCTGCGGTTAGCCCCACTTCGACCAGAAACCAGGCAAGCCGCTTGTACTCTTCGCTCGCAAACTGGCCCCGTGAATCGACCGTCCACGATCGCGTGTCCCGGAGAGACCATTTTTTCCATCTCCAATCAAATTGTCGCTATAAACTCAAAAAATTTGTCTTCCTCGCTGTGAATGTTTCTCTTTGCTGAAACTTTGGCGACCCTTCTCCACGTTTGCGCTTAACGCCTTTAATTCTTCACCGATACGTTTCGATAATTTTCAATAAAATACTTATCATATTATGCGGTGGCTATTAGCGTATTTAAGTAAATCATGAAGTCGTGGATCTCATGACAAATGTTTTTCTCATAGAGTCAGTTAGTTGTCATTCGACGATAAAACGACCCTTGTCCATGTTTACCCTTCTTCAGAAATTCAAATTCAAAAAAATTCTCCGAAGACTTTAGTTTTTCACCAATACGTTTTTGGATAATAAGTTTTATTATCGTATTATGCAATTGTAGAGTTTGCAGCAGTAAGGAGGCAGCTTTAACACTTCTTGGAAAAGAGAGAAAGAGATAGATTTTGTATTTAAAAAATGCAAAATTTATTACTAGAAGTGTACTCCACTGACTATTAATTTATTAATACATTTGTGAAAAAGTGACTTGATTTTGATTGATTTTATGTTGGTTTTTGTTTACTCAAAGTACTAGGAAGTACAGCCATCTTCTAGCGTATCTGCACTTGTATCGCACAAGAACTGTATTTAATTAAGTCATAAAGTCCTAAAGTCGTGAAAAGCAACTATTTAATTTTCATTCGATAGCATTTCAAGATATAGTTCGTTTCTTATAAATGAAAGTTGGCTTTCGCTACTGGGATATGTCTGAGAAATTGATGAGAGCAACGATAAAAATTGGCGAGAGCGTGTTGGGTAACAGATCTCGGTTTTCGAATGGCAACGATTATTCGGTTCACGCGTTATTTATTTCTCTGGTATGGAATATAATCCGGATAATGGGTTGGCTGATGAGCTGCTGAAGCAGACAAACGCCAGCCGCATCGAGCTACTGGCACGGAACGGTATTCTGGTATTTTTTCTTTCATTGAATGCGCAGGAATTAACGCGGTTTCCCCCTTCTCCCTCTTTCTGTTTCTGTGTCTCCATGGAACGCGGTATTCACCAAACGAATCACAGATCCACGTTGATTGCCTTTAGTGTCACTTTCGAAATACATTGTTTCCATCAGCATTTCTTTTTTTGCATGAGAAATAAAAATCGATCAATATTCGGTTTTACCGTGTGACAAACACATCTTCTAAATTCCTTCAAAAATCCATCCTCTTATGCGAATCTTCGGTGACACGAAATGCATCGAGTAAAGAGAAGGATATGGTAATTGACAAGGAGGAAGAGTTCATCCTTTTTCGATAAGGAAAGAAGAATTTATATATCGATAAAGGATATATAAAAAATGTGTTGAATATTCATCCAGAATTTACCGCGCCTTATTCATATTCTGATCTTAATAGAACTCTTTTTTCATGACAGAAGATAAAATCGTATAGCATCATGTGACGGTGAGTAAGCATGTTAAAATACTTCTCTTACCGTTGTGCTGTCTGAAATGTTATTTTCTGAACAACGAACAAGCATATCATCCTTCTTTTTTAAAATCTCCACGTCATCATTTTTAAAAATATCTCCTGTTTCAAGCATGAAATTATTCATGTTTCAGAACCGTAAAGACGGTTTCACTTACACGATTCTCTTCTCAAAATCTCTATGTGTAAACACTAAAAATATATCATCTTTTCATCTTTTCCTAAAATCATTCATGTGCCATGATCAAAAAAGTTCTAATTACGCCCTACACCTCATTTGAAACTTCACTAAACTTTCCCCAAAATCATTCATATGTCAAGGTCGAAAAGACTGCACCACTCTTTTTTCAAAATCTCCACCTCGAAAGATATATCTCGTTCAAAACCTCAGCCATTTCTAATATTATTCGCACCTTGAAAATCGAAAAAATGATTTCGATTGCATCATTCTCTAAAACTATTCATATTCTGAAAAGACCGAAGAAAACCACACCACCTACGTTATCTCCTTAAAATCTCCGCCTCCCAAAATAATAACAATTCAAACAATCCAAACTGCTCTACTATCCTCTTCTCAAGATCTCCAGTTTTCAAAATCCCTCATATTCAAAATCTTATGTATCGTTTTCTAAATCAAATAAACAATCGAATCTGCGCCGCTCTTCGTCAAAAAACTATCTACCCCCTCCCCTCCCAAACCGTGCCTAAACAAAAACCATTAACAACTGACAAAATGGAAAAAACGTTTGCAGCTCATTCGGCCTGACATTGAACCCATTAGCGTGAAAGTATCCGAGGTCAGCTCGTCGGTGCGTCTACCCCCGCGTCGCAAAAGGAAACAACAAAATTTGGCGTGCGCGGGGGTGTATAGGGTTGGTTTGCATGCGCGGCCGCGCGCTCACGGCCATAATAATAATTTTTACAAGCCCGCGTGTAATCAAGGCTGCGTGTTACACATGTTCCGTCGGTGGCTGCCCCTACTCGCACCGCGTACGTCCCCCGTCTTTGTCGTTGTAGGGGTGGTCGTGGCAC